AGAGATTGTACGAAGTCACATAAATTCAATTCAAGTAATTGAATCACACTATTGTAGGACTGATTCTAAAAGGATGTACCTCCCTTCTGGGTTATCAGAAAATCACTTGTATCAAGATTATCTGAAATATTGCGAGAAGTTACGAGACACCAATCACTTCTTCTTCTTACAAGCATATTTCCACTACAGAATATAATTATAGTTTCTACAGACCCAAGAAAGATCAATGCGATTATTGCACTCAGTTCAAAAATAAATCAGAGGAAGAAAAATTAAAGAGTCAACATGATTTTGAGTTACATATTTCAGGAAAACAGGAAGCCTGAGATCACAAAAAAAAGGGCTCGTAATGAAACAAGCTTCACCAAGGATTTGTAAAAAATCTTACTTACTCCTCCTAATTCTACAGTCTATACACTTGCAGATGAAACTGTCTCAAATTTCATGTGGCACGAAACNGAGATACATTTTATTCTGACACTGCTTCTGGGAGGAATGAAAATATGATTTTGTCTGCGATGTTTATAAAAGCTTTATCTTTTCTTAGATAGCTTGAAAGTTATCAATCAAAAGTTTATGGAGTCTGGACATTCAGAAATGGAATGTGACAGTGTCCATTCTGCTATTGAAAATAGAGAAAGGAAAACAGATATATTCATTCCAGATCAGTGGTATACAGTGGCAAGAACTGCCAAACTGAGTAATCCTCCGTATACTGTGAAGAAAATAGATTACACTAAATTCCTAGATTTTAAAATATATAGCAAATAATTAATAACAAACATAAATAAAAATGTAGATGGCAATATTATGAGGTGGCTGGATGTTAAGTGGCTACAGTTTAAAAAAGATTCACCATTCTGTATTTATTATAAAAACCAGTTAAGTGAAATAGATTTCCAACAATTATGCATTAGGTTGCCAACCCAAGAAAAATTTACTGCAAATAATGTTGACCAACTATACCACTCTCGCCTTTCAATTGATGAAAAAAAATTAAAAGATTTATCATTTCTATATGTAGCACAAATGAAATACCGTCCGTCTACCATCAATTTTACTAAAAACTGCAAACTACTGAGAGCACCAACTCTGACTCTGATGAATTTGATTAGATATATTCATTTTACATGACTTCCTTCAATATATATTTTTTTGTATGTGATATAAATATAAATTTGAAATTTTTTAAACATTATGATTATCATTTAAATAAAAAAGTTTCAAGTTGTAATTGTTCGTTTTTGATAATATGTAATGTGCCTTTTAAGGGTTTGAGACCATTATGACCATAATTGGTGGGGTGGCCGTATTATCACTTAGCTCTTTTCACATGCATAAACATAAATTATGTAGTCTTACTTATATTAGGGTGGTGAAAGAAGCTAAGTGTTAATTATCTTATCACCAGTGATAATGAGTTTTTTACTTTTTTAATATTGTCAGTTTCTAAGTAAATGGCCTTAGTATATGAGAGCAAATCAAATTAACTGAAAGAACAATTTGTTAAGGCCAGTCTCGACTTACCTACACTGAAGGTTAATGGACTGACACCTATCAGAGAACAACTTATATACTGGCTAATACCACGAAAGGTGTTGGTATATATCCGACAGGTGTCAGTGCAGGATTCTTCACTGAAGTTATTCCTACATATGCTGTTGGCGGTACAACTGCTGGAATTGATTTTCCATTATAGGAACGGACACACTTGCAGACCAGTTTTGGACTATTCGGCCTCTCGTCAGTGCAAGATAGTGGCCATCATCAACCTACAGTTGATGATATTATTCGATAAATAAAAATCGAATTCCTTATCCCTTGAAATAGGTTGAAGTGAACAACAAACAACATATTTGTCATCGCCCCATCTGGTAAACAAAGTACTAATCAACCGCATATCCAAATTCACCAAATTCCTCGTATAAGAAAAGAAAACTTCACATATATTGCACTGACGAGAGGCCAAATAGTCCGAAACCGGTCTGCGTGTCCGTTCCTATAATTTAAAATAGATTCCAGCAATTGTATCGCCAACAGCATATGCAGGAAATACTTCAGTGAAGATTCCTGCACTGACACCTGTCGGATATAATGCAACGCCCTTCGTGGTATTAGCCATGGGAGTAGTTGTTTTCTGATAGGTGTCAGTCCATTAACCTACAGTGTAGGTAAGTCGAGACTGACCTGAATAAATTGTTCTTTTAGTTGATTTGATTTGCTGCCAGTCTTCAAGTATGGCTACTCAATATATATCCGAGCAAGCTTTCATTAAATTAAGGTAAATAAATAGATACGAATGAATAATTATTAAGTAAAACTTTACTGTCCATTTTTTCTACAAACAGCAGTTGTGTGGCTTAGCTCACTTTTCCTCCAAAACGACTACTAGAATACAACTAACTTTATTACGCCACGCAGGACGTTTTTATATGAAAAAATATCATGAAGTAAGCGTCTAGGTGAACAAAGAACAGTAAACGGCGCCTGGGATCTTTCTGGAACTGCGTAGGTGCAGGATGTTGATTCAGCTATGCTCTTGCGATGGTCACCTTGGAGATGAATGGTAGAGGTAAGCCATGGACATATAACAAATCTATACCTAATCTTGGAAGTTTATCTTCAAATATCATAAAACTTTTTCATAATGAACAAAATATCAAAATATGCCAAAGAATTATTAAAACAATAAAGAATTTGAATACCAAATTGAAAGATAAAACGGATAGTACAAAAAATTCAAATGTGATTTATAACATTCCATGTAACAATTGTAATTTGGATTATATTGGAACAACATCTAGAATTCTTAAAGATAGAATAACTTCACATGAAAGTGATATAGAGCTTAATAAGAAATCGTGTGCATTAGCGCAACATTCTATAGAAACAAGACATTAAACAAATTACTCTTATATCAAAGTTTTACATACAGAAAAAATATTTCCAAACGCCTTTTTCTTGAAATGGTTGAAATTGATAAGTCTTCTGCTTGTATGAATAAGAGAACTGACATTGATAATCTCAGCAGTATATACAGTAACTAATGATAATAATGAAAATTGTATCATTAACTCTCCTTTAGAGTCAAAGATTATCAAATCATCATGCCCATTGAAAAATGACATTTATGTGAAGGTATGACATTTGTCAACCAAAAAAAATCCATTATTGTTTAACTTTCTTTCGTCGATTTATATGTTCAATTCATTGTTTTCTTCTCATTTTTACCGTAAGTATGATTTGTAATGTTATTCATTGGCAAAAACCCACAACTCAATAAATTATAGGCCCTGATGAAGAAGCTTCCCATTAGAAGTGAAAGCTTGGCAAAGTAGAGTTTTGGGTTTAAATATTTCGACACTATCAGGAAAACTACAAGAGTAAGAATATGTGTATTTACATATTGCTTAAGTTTTGATAAAACTACGTACATTGTCCACGAGGTTGTATGCAAATGGTAGAAAAATCATCAAATATATGTAAACAAAACATTATGGTAAAGTATTGTATTGTCAATACAATCTCTGTAACAGATTAAAATAATATTACTATAAAACACTCTTGAAACTTTCCAAAGTATTTTCATTCATTTCATTAAAGATTACATTTTCAACTCATTCAATCACTTATCTTTCAAAATTAGCCACAAACTAAGGAATGCTGAAATTGTTATTTGTCATCCCTTAGCAACATGGTAACGTCTTCTTTGTTTTCTTTTAAAATTCTCATTTCTCTGAACATTGTTTCCATATCTTTTAAAATACGAATACAATGTGGAATAAATCAGAACTTGGAATATTTCTGACAAAGTGGTAATATTAGTCACAACAAAACTTCTCTTTATCATGATTCCACATGCGAAACGTCGTCAGTCTGGTAGGACAAAAGAATTCCGTGAAAAAATTTAGATATGACAACGTTTTCGTTTATCGAGGCAATTCATAGCGCATCCAAAAAGTTTCCTCTGTGATTCAATCATGCGCACTGTGATTTATTACCAAAACGTGGTGATAGTATACTACTGGGTAGTAGTTTCGATATTCTGTGACTGGGTCTTTAGCATTATATTGTAACACATCTAATGGAGCTCAGAGTAATTGTCTTTTGTTACTCTGAGTAATGGACTGTCGATTCAAGAAATCGCTAATTTGGCAACCAATGTTTGACATTAGTTCCTCTCGGAATCGACTTCAAAACATTATACCGGATGAAGCTTTTATAATCTGTTGCAACTGGAGAAATTCATAACCAAGTGAAAAATTCATCAGAAGAATGATTTATTGAATAATTTCATCGATGTCATAGAAAAATGGACTCCCACTAGAGAGGAATATTTAGCTTGTCAAACTGTGAATTGTCCTCAGTTATGACCAGGTGAAAACTATTATTACAGAAATGATGTTCTAGACACTGAATTTCCAGTCATTTAAAATTCAGTTGTTCTCTAGCTCCAATTTACATATCTTCGTTACTGGTCGCTTGAATTTCGAGGTTGATGTTTTAACATTAACTATCCGGATTCTCTCGTCATGTCCATGATATATGCCAGTTATTCTGCCCAACTTCCAGTTATGTTTAGGGACTTGATCATCAACCAATATGACGGCTATAGGTTTATTATATCTTGTCCATTTACTTCGCCTTGATAAGGTAGGTAGATACTCTCTTGTCCAGCGATTCCAGAAAGAATCTGATCATGCGAGATATTTTCCATTCTCTCCTCAGATTGTCTGCATTTGGATTCAATATAGCTGGTTGACTAACATCTCTTGACAACCATTTCGACAGATTTGTTCGGCCAGAGAGAACCATAATTCCATCTTTTAGTTCAGGACATAAACTGGCAAGCTTACTACTTCCACTCAAATGTTTTCCATTCTTGAGGCAGCATATATCTGAGGGTAAACTCTCTTGTTGTGCACACTGTACCCAAATTTTCTCAGCATTAGATATCTCTTCTTTTGTCAAATTGGGTTTGAACCATTTTTTGTTTTTGAGAATGTTAATATATCTCAAGCACCAAGCCATAGAACGAATTAATCGTATCCACTTGGAGAATCTTTTTACAAGTGGTAAACAATTTTCATGGTTCGTAATGAGCAGACATGTTCCAAACTGTTTTTGTTTCAATTCAACATCCACTTCACACAAATATTTCATGTCTTTTTGGCACGGCCAAAGTTCCTCGGACTGTCTGAGAAAGTGCGGCCCAGAAAACCATTGGTCTGAAATTATTTTCTCTCCTACCGTCCATCTTGTTGCTTCATCTGCAATGTTATATTCAGTTGAAACCCAGTACCAATCTTTAACTTCCGTTCGTTCTTGTATTTCTCCCATTCGATGGGATACAAATGGTTTATAGTTTTTTCCATCACCTCTTATCCAGTTCAAAACGCATCTTGAGTCGGACCAAAAAAATGTTCGATTGATAGGAATTTCCAGTTCTTTTCTCCTCAGCTGAGAAAGCCGATTTGCCATGACCTCTGCCTGAAGTTCCAACCTGGGTATAGATAATTCTTTCAACGGAGCGACTCTAGTTTTTGCCGAAATAAGGCAAACTTTGGTTTCTTCAACTCCAACAACTCGAAGATATACTACTGCAGTAAACGCCTTTTCACTGCTGTCACAAAATGTGTGAAGTTCGGTAGCTATAGCTGAAAGTATAAGGTAGCTGTAACATTTGGAAATTTGTATTTCAGAGACTTTCTCGATTTCTCTCATCCATTTTTCCAGGAAATCTGTAGGTCCTGTGACAAAACATAATCCCAGTCGATACCAGATCGCCATATATCTTGTATTAAAATCTTTCCTCTCACGGTGAAGGGGGAAATCAAACCTAGCGGATCAAAAATAGATATCAAAGACCTTAGAACAGTTCTTTCCGTAGGAGTCCCTTTGCAAATCTGGGATTTTTCAAATTCAAATTAAATATTATCATTGTCAGTGTCCCACCACAATTTTCTTCGATGAGGCCAAAACTAGTTCATCGGCAAGCTTCGTTCGAATCAATTGGGAATTCGTCATCCAATTTATTACCTCATAGCCAGCAATTTTTTGGATTCTGCGTATTTCTAAAATCATTTGTAGAGCTTCCTCTTCTGTGTCTTTGGAATCCAGATAATCATCAACGTAAAACTTTTTCATGATAGCGGTTTTTACGTCTAGATCTGAAGCGAATTTTCAGAACTTTGAAGGGCCGTAACTTTGTAAATAAGGGATTCGTTATCTACGCATCAAAATACGTAAGTATATGTTATATAATCTGGGGCATACAAAAGCGTGGCTAGGAATTATGTGAATCTTGGCAACAGTGGACGGATATTCTCCTCTATCCCGATGTCGATGGTCTAGTCGATGTCAAAAAGTGTGTCTAGAAAAGCGTGGATAACTTCACATAAACATCTTTGACTGTAGTTCCTGCATCGTGCTAAGAGTCTTTTCTATAAAGTATTCTGTAAAAAAATACAGAATATTAAACAACTTTCTGCTAGTGTATTCGGGGAGTGCAAAGAATTGTTGTTCCAGGCGTTATTTTAGTAATAAAATGTTACCCTATGACGTTAAAAATTACTAAGTTACGTTTTAACCCTTTTTGCGAAATCTTCAAATACAGTTCACGCACACAAACTTACGAATAATGCATCAAAACTGACAAATGACGTATAACTGAAAGTTAACCTCTTTGTTATTCTGAGAAGTTAACATATCAAAACAGACGATTGGAGAACATTTTGACACGTCTCCTGTCAGTTTTGATACGTCAGCTCATCGACATAACCTTAATTTATATTTTATAGGTTATGTCGGTGCGTCAGCTTTCACTCAAAGATAAATCAGCTAGTGTTGCCAATCACTAGGTTTGCGAGAGTTGTGTGCAATTATTCTCAAAAGTTACTTGTTTCAAGATATTTTAGCATCAAAGAATACATTAGCATAGCAAAGAGGGGAGTGAGCAGTTAAGTTTACACTGGCAATCAGATTGTTAAATGGACTACTAAACTTATTCTATTAAGGAAACTGAAAAATGTCTGATAGAAGATTTTCAGGAGGATCCTCTTTAGATGATCCTCCCAACTCTAGATTATTCATAATTGGACCCAAAACATTGAATGAAGATGATTTCAGGAAGGCTTTTGATGATTTTGGAGATATTGAAGAAATAAGGGTTGTTAAAGATAGAAATACAGGGGAAAATAAGGGTAAAATAAGTGTTCGACTTCAAAAAGCCTATTTTTTTTTTAATTAATTACCTTTGTTACAGGAGTTTTCTATGTTAAATTTGCCAAAACTTCCCAAGCTGCTAAAGCATTAGAGGAAAAAAACGGTAAAATTATTGGTTCCGGGAGAGCCATCAAAATCATGGTAGCTTCTAGGTGAGTTGATTGAGAACCTATCATTTTCTTCAGAAGGCACACAGAAAACACAAACTGTACTTGAGAGTAATTGCTTTGGGAGAAACTGTTTTGGGTCTTGATTTAATGGTTTGCAAGGAACCTGTCTAAAATTTATATGTAGAATGAGAAGAGGATCTCAATTTAGAGTAACAAATATATACTTACTAGGGAAAATTTGTAATATCTTACAGACCACTTTTTTCAATGTTTTCTCCTCACTTCTGCTATTGTTCATTCAGTATTTAGGTTTAACAGCCCCTTCATAGAGGATTTTTCGTGTGTGTTCCCTGGTATGTTTTCCCAGTACTCTCTATGTTACTTATACACCCACTTTCCAATCTGGTTCTGTACCAGTGACTTTTGTACCCCCATAAATAGAGTTGATGATCCATAACTGGCACATTCATCAGCTCTACATCATTACCTGTGATGCCTAAGTGTCCGGGCACCCAATATATAGTCAATCTGTTGCATACACTTCAGCCTCATGTATATTGACCGAATGGGTAACTGAAATGAAGATTTCTCCCTACACAGTAAGTTCCAGCTCCTGTTCAATAATCGGTATTTGACTCGTCTGTGTACCAGGTATTTATGCCGAGTATGTTCTCAAGATGACTGTTCATTCTCCACTCTTCGCTGTTAAAGACCCCCACCACAAAGTTTGTGTTGTACATGTATTTTGGTGTCATGTGTCCCAAAAACTTTGATTTTTATTCCTCCACATATTTTGAAATTTTTGTTTCAACTGATCCCATGTAACTCGGTGAGTTTTCCAGTCTGAATTGGCCTACTCTTGCCACCCCAAATATCACTATATGTAAACGAGGAAGACTCGAGAGTGTTTCCAATGCAACTATAGGAGTGGTTTTCATTGCTCCCAAACATGCAAGTCTTTACACTCTGCTTGATTTGGTATTAGCAGACTTTTGTTTCATCTTTGGCCACCAGACCATAGATGCATATTTTATAAACCCAGTATATTATGTCTGGTCTAAGCCCCTACATCTTTCAGTAGGTGCCTCTGGCCAACATCAGTGCTATCTCCACTTTCGTTTCTACTCTTTGTAGATGTTGGTTCAAGGTTACCCTGGGATCTAGTAGCACTCACATATATTTGTCCTCCGATAGATTCACCTCTTTATCTCGAAGTTTCAGAATTCCTAGACCTTTTGGTCCTCTTGATGAATGCTACTATAGTCAATTTCGTTGGGCTTATGTTCAGCTCTTCTTCATCGGTCCATTGAGTTTGAATATTATGGGCCTGCTGCATGCATCCCTTCACTACATTATTATTTTTGCCCCGGACTAGGATGAATAAGTTGTCTGCATAGCCCAGTACTTTGTGTTCGTCATAATCCAGAAGACATAGTAACTTGTCCATTACAAGGCTCCGTAAGAGTGGGGACAACCCCCCCCCTGAGGACAACCCCTTGCCACCCATGCCACTACTGTCTCTCCCATGATGGTTGTGTATACCAATCTTCCTCTAAGCATCCAGTCTACTGCCTCCTCGACACCTGAATGATTGATTTTTAGGGATGTATTGTCAAATGTGTTCTCTATGTCCAAGAAAGCAGTCAAAAATACATCCTTATTCTTGTGAGCAAATTCTGCTTTTTCCAGTACCCGTCATAAAGCCGTTTTTGTAGGCATATTGGTCTTGATGCAGTTGTCTGGTAGCCAGCGTTGTTTCTAATGTCCTGATGACACTGATTGGTCTTAAGGCTCTCGCTGAGTCCTGTCTGATTTGCCCAAGTTTTAGAATGAAGGTGGCCCTAATCAGTCTTCATGTTTTTCAAGTGGAGGTTCCGGTCGTTTTTGCAGAATTCCTGGGTAAATGCCATCTGGACCCGGCGACTTATAAGGTTAGAATGAGTTCATGCCCCATTACATTTCCTACAAATTTACCACTTTGCCACCAGCGAATCCTCCCTGGATACTCTTTTAGGAGCCTTCAGTTCTGAATTTGTCCCGGACTCCGGTATTAGATTTGTAATTTATGTCTCCGTGAAGTGCAACCGGTTTCCTATAAATAAATGAATCTGATATGAACAATAACAGAGTGTTCTTTGGTAGACTTTTTTGTGGAGGACCCAATATTTCTCATTGTTTTTTTGGTTATGTAACCTCCCACAATCTGAAAGGTAAATCAACTTTCGGGGTAAACTTTTCAGTTCACCGCGTGTGTGTATGTGTTATCCTGGCATAACACTACAGCATGTGATACTATCAGTGAAGGACTATGCCAAAACATGATTGATATGGGGCTCCCAAATCAAAGAGTGTAGCTGGTTCAGATAGTTGGATGTTCAGTTTTACTGTCTTTTTTGATGAAAAGCCTAAATCGACCATTTTATTTTCATTCGCTTTCAGTTAATTTCTATCACACCAAAAAATCATATCATTAATGTCGTTTTCTAGCTCCTCTGCTGTATTACCGAAAACTGTCTTGGTATTATTCTCTGTGAATAAGATAATGTAACCATATTAAATTGTTAATATCAATTGAGTCTACAAAACATTCCAGAGGTAGAGCTGTATGGAGCAGTATTAGCTAGAGGATTTACTAAAATAATATTATATATGTGTTTGAATGATCAAAATGATTGTTGTTTTCAAGATAGTCTATAAAAATAAAAAGTGGAGAGATTCCAAGTGACGTTAGTTCACGACGTTTCGATTGTTAGTATCTACAATCGTCTTCAGGTCATCACCAGAATCGTCTTCGGGTCATCACCCGAATCGTCTTCGGGTGATGACCATTAATACTCCATTTGTATTCTGCTATTGCAGTTTATAGATATCAATTTGTTTCTCTGATACAAACATAGTTGCATAGATTTTCATATAACAATGGTCCTAGAACCCCACAAAAGATTGACTGATATAGTAGTGTCTTTTGACTCCAAATGGTTTCGAAAACCATTTCCTTTTCTCAGGTTGTTTTCAGTTTTAAAAGCGCAGCTTTCTTTTGCTATATGTTTTTAATAATTATTTTCAGCCGTGAAAAGGGATCTAAGAGAGAAGAGAATGAAGAAGAAAGCCTTCAGAGATTATTTGTTGTTGTTCCCAAAAATATGACAGATGATGACCTGTATGATGCTTTCAAAGACTTTGGTGATATTGACTATGCTAATATTATACGTGACCGGGAAACTAGAGAAAGCAAAGGATTTGCATATGTTAAGTTTACAAAGTAAGTCATGTTAAATCTCTTAATTCAATAATGTTGGTATTATTTGAAGTTTAATGAAAATAGTTTCTGATAGATTTTTTTTCCTTATCAATGGCATCGGCTACTACGGCCATTAACCTCTTCATCTAGAAAAATTCTCTCGTGAATATATCTGGTCGTAGTTGGGTTTGAATTCATGATATCTGGATCATGAGTCTGGTGCACTACCAGTTGAGCCATTTTACTGCTTTCTTGTGGTTTATTACAATTAGGTCATATAATTTGTTTGTTTTGCAGATTTTCCGAAGCAGCAACTGCTTTTGAACAGTGTGACAGGAGGAAATTCAAACCGGTTTTTGCTGAACCAAGAAAGTCACGTGACACAATGAGAACCTCTTTTGGCTCAGAATCAGGTTTCAGAAATAGTGGTCCTACTAGGGCTCCACTCATGAGCCCACCAAGAAGCAACATTCTTCCACCTCCTGATCGGTACTGTGATAATGGTTTCACAAGACTTACAGTAATTGCCAGTCCTGTGGTGAATCAGGATCAAATGTGGAAGTTGTTTGATATTGTTCCGTGTAAGTGTGTAATTGTCATCAAAAACTAATGATGTTGGTAGAAGAATGAATATGAATGAATAATTAAATCTCTAATTGAGATCAGGTTGAGATCAGTGCACAGAATGTGCAATTGGAAAATTCAGTGTTCATATGAATGAAGCTGTTTCCTGTAATTCAATTTTCATGTGAAAGTAATTGTTTCCATAGGACTTTTTCCAGTTTATATCTGAAAGTAACTTCTGTCCTAAACATATTTGTAAATAGTATATTTTGAACTTATTGCTTTCTTCCTTCCATCGGATATTTACCACTTTTTTATATAGAGATAGAGAAGTAGAAAGCCAAAATGCTTCTTTCCTAATTATCAATATTATTTCGCAAGGAAAGCAGTGAAGCCATCATAATATGAAATAAATTTTGGTTTAAAGTATCAATTATCAAATCAGTTCATTCCATTCTGAAGCAAAATGTGTAGAACGGCCCACTTACCCCAATGAACCGGCCACTGACTGACCATTATTGATATTTTAAATCCGTTTTCCATTAAGCAGACAATATTCAGTGAAATGCAGATGATATGCAGTGAAAATTAAAAATCCCACAGTTGGTGTAGAACCAACCTTTGCATAACAGTTTGTTGAATAAGAGAAGTGAACCACTTATGCTAAACAACCAGCTACCGAAGAAACAAAAAATTATTATTTTGTCCAAAATTGATTTAAATAATCAAGATCAGATTGGAGATGCATTTGGCTCTCCATACGGCATTGTAAAAGGAATAATATTTTTCCTAAACTCACTTCTATGACTTTAATGAAATGGATAAAAACACTTTTGTCTAATTACCACTGGTAGATTTTATTTATCTGTTTGAAATCTGTTTTTCCATTAACCAGCTGTCGCATCCCTACGAAAGACTACCCTCAGAAGTCGAAGCTTGTGCGAGCTAAGAATTAACGAGGTCTTACCTTTTAACGTGCGATTCCTAACACGGGTTAGACGATAGCAAGTGAAAATTGATCGTTCAGACTAGGGCTTGAACCACCGACCAACACGGCAGTCAATTCGAGTGAGTGAACAAAGCACCCACGTCGAATTGCCTGGCTACCGACCGACCCATTATCAAGTATCAGTTTTATACTTGATAATGGGGTCAAACTCGAAACCGGTAATATTTTGAAATGAATAATTGACATTTACTTAGCCACTGAAAATGTATTTTTATTCGGATATGAATTGGGAATGAAAAACAGCGGTTTGCTGATTATTTAATCTACTTCAGCACTGGATCTAATCCGATAAGCTAGATTGTTCAAATAATGAATTGTCCGACCATTTAAAATAATTCAAATTCAAAAAAGAATCTCAGAGCAGAAAGTCTAAAGTATATCGAAGTATAAATATAAAATACAAGCATGTTTTAAATATATGTTTGTAAATGATTCATGAGTTTATCAACAAAGTATATTGAATCGAAATTGATCTTAATTTTATGATGAGTCACAGTTCTACCTGATCCTAAATCAGGAGCATACAATTCAATTTTTCTTCAGTACAAAGTGTCTTGGAAATGTTCAAATCTAAATGGTTCCAAGACTTGACACATATGTCAAACTTAAAAAAAAATATGGAAGTTTTCTCTTTTCTTTGTATTGAAATTATGTATGTATTTTTCATATATTTTTGTATGTGACTGCTACTTGAATGTACTGATGTTGATACATCATCCAACTTGTCTCAAATTTTAAGGAATTGTTGACGTTATGTTTGTACAGCTATGTGAACGGAATATAAAAAATTAAAATTTCAAAATGTCATCCACTCGAGTTTTTACTCAAAGGTAGAAAGATTCGTTTTGAACAATAAAAACATCTGGTGCATGAAATGAAAGTTACCATAAAACCAGTATTTTATTTTGAAAACATCATAGTCCTACTTTAGACGATTTTTTTGTCATTTTTCAGCTTTAGATTACTGTCAGATAAAATATGAAGGAGATCGAATCAGACCAACTAGAGCCCTAGTGGAAGTAGTGTACACAGATCCTAAATGGGCAGCCTATGCCCAAGAAAAACTTCATGGCCTAGAGTACCCTCCAGGTTTTCGGTTGATTATCAAACCAGAGTATGAACATTCACGATCGGGTTATGGTAAGAGACCTTTAACATCACCATCATCAGGATCAACCTCTCTGTCGACTAATGCTCAACCTGATATCTTGAAAATCGCAGAAACTATTGCTCAAGCAACTTCCCTAATACAAGCAGCTGGCCTTTCACCAGGTAAGAAAAATTGGCGAGATATAATACAATTATTGTAGTGCAAAAAAATAAATATCATCCTGAAAGATATCAATTAATGAATGTTATTAATGAATGTCAACAAGTACATTAGATAATTAGTTACTGTTCTGCTTCTGGTTATATAAATATAAATTATTTCGCCGATCACCTGGTTTTCATTAAGTTTTTTTTACAGATATATTACAACAGAAATTGGGTCTAATGACAGAAGCTAGGAAGAGTGAAGTATTCTGTAGTGTGAAATTGCCTGATGTAGAACCCATGGCTAACTTTGATTCTCAAACAGAAGCTAGGTAGTTGAAACTTTATTCAATTCTACTTTGTTTAATTCCTGTTAATATTTAGTTGATAATTTTTGGTGTCTTGAGAGGCAATATTCTATGGCAAATTCGAAAATTGTTGACAAATATTCCTATTACATAAGAAATTAACAGAAAGTCATAAAATATTCTACGAGTGCTTATGGATTTTTTTTCAATTTCAAATCAGTGTGCTGAACATTGAAACAAATTTTAAGCTTAGATGAGAGTGTTGGAGGTTACTTAATATTAACAAAGCATGGAAAATCTTTATTTTTTCATGCAATAATATTGTACATATCCTCGTTTAACAAAAAATATTCATTAAAAACAGAGATGCAACTAAAAATCAATAAACAGTAGGTCCAATTATGATTTTATATTAGTCTTGGTGAAAATATGCTGAGGGCTTTAACTTTATTTTTATTAATTATAATGGGATAATATTGTATTCAAAAAAACCTACTTTAATGTGAGATGTCATGTATCAACATGGCCGCCTGGCCAAGTTCGTGTTTAGATGCTCTCATTGAAAATAAAAATTTCCCTAGCTGTAAACAGTGCAACAGAAATATAATCAAGGACAAAACACTCTGCTACAAGTGTAAGCATAATTTTCATCCGGGGTGCTGGAAGCAATCGCTCCAAACGAAAAATCCAGTGTGTCTGCANATGTTGCTATGTGATGTTCTGTAGCACCAATATTTTATTCTACCTAGCAGTTAGGTTTTATTTCAAATGATCAATAATAAATGTATATTATCTTTTAATTTTGTACCCAGTACAGCGTGCATCTGCACTCTTTTTGACCTGTCATAAATGTATTTATTGTATGCATAACATGATTAAATAAATTCTGTCTGCCTGTCTGTCCACTTGAAAGTTTACAAAATCGCGACACGTGCTTTGCTATACAATAGCATCTTCGGCACAAATATCTCACACCCATTTTTTGAAAGACGATAATAGAATTTATTATAAATGTTCAAGAACTTACCCCCCCGAAACAAGTTCCATAACGCATAATGACCACCCAAGCGATACATAATATAGGAGGCACTATTCTCTTCCCTACAAGTGGCCGTCGATGGATATCTCTCGAATACTTTTCCCATCAAAGCTGGTGTTTCCCGGGGGTCCATATAGTCTCCAACCTTCTTTTTATTGTATATCAACGACTTATTGGAAAAAACGAAGAATGTAATATATTGTTTTGCTGACGACAGCACACTTGTCTCGTCATTTCATTTGGATTCTAGGACATTGGCTGCGGATGCACGTCTTCACTGGCAACAGGAGATTACATATCTCAATGAGGATCTAGAAGTGATTTCGAATTGGGGTGAAAGTAACTAGGTTCAATTCAATGCTACAAAAACCCAGGCATCGGTTTTCTCCTAAAAGATAAATATCTCTGAACCAGCCAAGTTGTAGTATATAGTAAAGATTTTTGTCATGAAATAAATGCACTATTTTATTTTCTTACATTTCAGATGCTTCATTGTTTGCACCCCATCAGCACTACCTGGGACAGTATTGAAAGATGTTTTTTGTCGATTTGGAAATTTGATAGATGTCTACATGTTGAACAATCGGAACTGTGGATATGCAAGATATGCTGTAAAGCAGTCCGCAGAAGATGCAATCAAGGTATGACAGTTTCAAGTACAGGTGTATGAATATTGATTGTTGATTTTTTCAGACATTACATGGCTCAGAAGTTTTGGGTATTCGTTTGAAGGTGATTGAAGCTGAAGAGAGACCAGAGAAGAGAAGGAGAACGGGCGGAGATGATTGATTCCACTGGGTGAGTAAAAGCATGTTTTATCAGAGTATTTTGTAGCAAAAGGCATATTATGCACTCATTCAGTTGAAAATTATGGCATCAAATCAGAAATAAAATAATTCCCCACAATTCTCTTTATAGAATAGAAATTCACACCAGTAGATATTTATATACTTCAAGTTTATTTACTTCATGGATTACGCAAAGTTTTTTAAAATCGTCAGATCATCATCAACATAGAAATAATCAAAATTAGTTATAAAAGTAGACATTATTGTTGCACACTTTTCCTTGCGTATTGCTGATGTGTTTGCTATTCGCTGTTACCCTTCACATTATTTAATATTCCTGGCTCCAGTCATCTGAAAGACTATGGAAAACACTAGATGCGCTCTCCCACTTATTCCTGAGCCTTCCAGATGTATTTCCAAAAATTAAGTGTCTACTCTTTTCTTTCACAACAAATTACTTTCCACTATTTAGACACACTTTTTTTTTTCATTTCATTGGAAGATTTGCATTGATTTGGTACATTAAACATCAAGATTCTGTTCAAAACAAGCACTTTTCCAAATTAGGAGAAATGCAATACTCTTCTAGGTGCCCGTTCCACTAACCAAGTTTGTGTCTCCAGGTGAAGAACAGAACGATTTTTTTGCTTTATATTTTCAACTGAACGAGTATTAATCTGAAATAATACAATTTACTGACTGCTACACGTTTCATCCATAAAAAACCGTATCACTTATTAACCCAAGCTATGTTTAAAATTATTTTTATGAATTAGTGACATACAAATACAACTGATATGCACATCACTTACTGAAACACATATTTCGATACTTCTCTGTAATACTGTGAGACTTATTTTTTCACTTTCACTAATTGATTATTGAACTACTTGTACTATGTAATAAAACCAGATATTTAACAATTTACTATCGAGGTAAATGTAAAATTACCTCGACAACTTTCATGTTCTCGAAAAGAGGATTGAAACTATGCAAGGCATCCAGTTCTTAATGGATATCCTGCTGACTACACCCAGGTTTATCCATGTATGGCATGAAAAAATTGACCTCAGTAAATATCTTGGTTAACAAATAATCAGCAAAACAAAAATATTTGCATAGCTGTACCTGCACATGGGTTTTTCAATGCCATTTTTACAAATGACAACATTTTGTATATCCATTATCACCCAATTATTTTTAATTAATTGGTTCATTGAATGAATTATTTTGAGTAGAGAATCAGGAAATGTATGGAGTTTCATATGACAATACCTTTCAAGCAAGCAACTTTAATGAAAAAAATTCAAAGGATTTAGGTCTAGAGATCTCAGTGAATTGGGCCTAGATGTTTGTTGATCCATTTTTGTCATTAATTTCAGATTTGGTTTATAGTGATTGTTTCGAAGAACACACCTTCAGTAGTCTCTAAAGGAGATCTTCAAAGATGATTTCAATCGCCTGTAGAGCATATCAACCCTTTCCATTAGAAAATATAAAATTTGTTAATATTTATTTTAATTGCTATTTAGGAACAATCATGAAATACAAATCAATTCAAAGAACTAAGATTATTAAAAAAAAGGAAAAAAAATAAAAAATATTTAATTATTTAAAGTCCCTCCTTCAGCAAACTAGTAGCAATTGTAGATGTTCTAGTAAAAATAATAGCATCAAGAATATGTATTAGCCAGTAAGTTTTTAAAGGTATTGGCATATGAACCTATATTTGAATCACATTTGTTTGAACTAATTTATTTTTCAGCTACTGATTCTGCTTGAATGTACGAAAACTAAAACTTTTGTTCAATATGCCAACTAATCAAAAATAATTAGAAAAAAACGGATAATCCCAATGCGGATATTCATAAAAATGTCATGGAAGAAAACATGAAGTAAAAACAGCTGTAGTAGTCACAGTCCCGTAAATGTGCTTCTGTTGAGCTGTTATTAAAAGATGACAGAAATAGTTATACTTTTCAAGAAGATCAAAGCTGTTGACATTAATATGACAGTGAAAAGTTATGAATCATCATAAAAGTTGCATTCTACCTATTTTGTACCTTTGGAACTATGGTTTACTGCGAACAAATTCATCTAAACAGGCTGGTAATCGAAATAGGAATAAAGAAAATTACAATGCCAATTCAATTATCTATGATTTCAAATTAGAACCAAATTCATTATATTTTAGAAAAAAAAATTAAAAATTTTGGGACATGCAGAGAATTTAATTGCCTACACAAGGGTAGCAGAAATGATCTTCCTTAGTGATTCTCATTCTTCGACATACAAAATATATTTCTTGTATTTTTTAGTAGACAATACAAGCGCTGGTACCATTTTTTAAAATAATCATTTAATCAAAGACGAATCTTAACTGAAAATGGTGTAATAAACATTTACAAAATAAATAGGGGAGAGTCATTTTTGTACACATCTTTGTGAGGACTTTATTTCGAAATTAATTGGTTTTTTTTTGTATAAAAATGGAGAATTGGAAAGAAATTGCACACAATGCTTTTCATTCATTCGTAAAAGGAAATAGATGATGAGATAAACTGTCAAGAGTTCAAATCATGTGTCCTGTCTTCTGATCTATTCTGCCATTATTTCGTGATTTCCCAACAGTTAGCAGCTGTTGGGAAACGAATTTATTTGCTGAAACAGCAACCACATATTTATTTCAATTTCCACATCATATTGTGATCTCTTTGAAATGAAAGCATGTATTCCAATATTAATATGTCCATTTTTGATTATGCGATGTTATAATTTATGTAAAGCCAAAATACAATATTCAGCAAGGATTGACACTACACTTGAAAAATAGTCAAACTGAGTTGTATGAGACTTTTAAAAACAGAGAAGTTTTGGAAAAGAGGTATATTTTTTTTCATGTTAATTAAATCAATTTGAAATCTACAAACAAAGCTACTATATATTCATTATTACAGAAACAGTTAGATGTCAGATGGAATGTTGTTTCATAGGAATTGCTTTGATGTAAATCGAGACTGATTTCATTAAAATTTTTGTTTCAATATTTATACATGACCGCTTATAAAAAATTAAGCTTTAAAAAATTGTAGAGCATACACAGATTTCACCTCTTAGGAATATTAAGTTATAAAAAAAAACACACTTTTTATCTTGTACATCGAACATTCATAATAAATAATCAATGAAAATTTATCAAAATTATGGTCTTTCTCATTCATTTATTTTCTATGAATCTTATATATGTTCTAAAAGGTTACTTTAATATTCTTGGCTCCAG